GGACCCTGTGTGGGAGGAGGGGTCTTTGTGTGGGCCCGCAGCAGTGAGGAATGCCCGCCATGAATACTAAGGGCAAGAAGAAGAGAAAGGGCCAGAGGGGGCTGGGTGATGTTTAGCTGCTGGGGTGATTAATGGGGGTGAACGGAGGGTGAAACTCAAACCCTCCGAACAGAGATGGTGGGGAATGGTCGTCCAAGAACAACAGTGCACTGTTTCCTGGAGAAAGCCAATGTCCAGAGGAGGGGCCGGTGGGGAGGATGCGGGCGCAGTGGCTCCTTTCCTTTTTTCCCAAGGTCTCTTTATTTGCCATCAAACAGTAAATTAAAATATACTCGCCAGCTCCAAGGGACACTCCGGATGGGCTTCCTACCTGCCTCTGGCTTGGGGGAGACCCAGGGACCTGGGGTAGCTCGGGGGAAGAGCTAGTGAGGTATGGGATCATGGTTGAGGTGACTCCATGGGCCGCTCCACTGGGGCACGAAGTGGTGATGTGCTGGCTCAACCACCAGCTTCCCTCTGGACCAGACAGGCACTGAGCGACACATGGGGTTGGGTGCCCAAATGTCCTATGGAAAGAGGTGGTGTTCTTCGAGCAGCCATGGCCTCAGGGAGGGAGGGTTGGGGGAAGGAGGAGGGAGGCCCCTGGTACCAGGGTGTTGAGTTGGGTCTGAGGAACTGGGGTGAAACTCCTGGGAAGTAGCAGGTTTGAGGCCCCCTCCCTCATTTTCTACTTGTGTCTCCCCCCCAGCCGTGGGAGCTGCCTCGACCTCTCTACCAGCCTTTTCCGAGGGCAGGAAAGGAGGGCGAGGGGATAAAGAGAACTGTCTCAGTACAGGGGAGGTGAGCTGCAGGCGGGGATTTAGATGGAAATGATCTCATGGGATAGAATTTTCTCCCTCTCTAGGCTGTTACAGATGTGAAACAACTGGCAGATCCCACTTCCCCTCCCCCAGCCATCCGGGAGCATGGTGTATCTTCAAGCCTTTGCCTCCTACAGGGGAGCGGGGAGCGGGGAAAGGACAGTCAGGAAAAGGAGCCAAGTGTGTATTCAGGGGTCCCCAGAGGGCCAAGGGAGACTAGCAGCTCCTCAGGGCAGGGGAGGCAGAATGCCCATCCCTGATTGCCCATCACTTGGGTATTGTGACTGCGAGCCCAGACTGGGAGCCCCGCCACCAGGCCTTAATTCCTGTCTCCACACAGAGCTTGGCCAAGCTGCTTCCCTTGTTGGAGTCTCACTCTCAGTCCCAATTAAATCTTTGCAGAGCCAAGCCTATAAAGCACTTTGAAATCTGAAGTTCATGGGAGGTGGGTCATTGAGTGCAAATACTCTGTGAGGCGCAACACGACTTGACTAGTAATGAGGAAACCATTTCACAAAGGGGCCAAGTTCAAGTGCTGCCATCAAAAGGGTCCTGGCCTCAGTTTGTCCTGAGGGCAGGGGGTTACAGAGGCTACCCTCTGCTTCCCGGAGGAGAAGGAAATAAACGAGCCCACCCGAGAGCAATGGTCACAATCAACAGTCTTAATTATGAATTAATAATTCATATTATTTCAGACTTGCAGATAAGCACAAGCCCACTGAAATTATCTCCCAGGGAGGAACACAGTCGGGGGAGGTAGGAAGGGAACTTCAGTGCAGCCGTTACTTCCAGAGGCCTCTGCTTCCCAGCCAGAACCTGGAAGAGATTTCTTGGCTCCCTTGGCTGAGTCCTCCCCATAAGCTTCTAAACACAGTGCCACACTGCGTCTGTCCTTCCTGAGGTCAGAGGGCTACACCTGCCAAAGTGATGTCAGGACCTGGACTCTGGCTTTCTGGGGTCTGTGTGTTCCCTGCTGTCTGTCCTGCTCTTTATATATGGGTACCCAGAGGAGGGGCTGGTGCTCGGTGTCCCAGGGAGGTGTGGCCATCTTTCTGACTCTTCCCTTTCCCTCCTCCCTTGTCACCGGGACTGCCCAGGAGCCCTGTGTTTTGGGGGAAGGCCTCTACAACTCTCTGCGGGAGGAGAAACAGGGAGCACCCCATCTAGTGTGGATGCAGCTGGTTCCAGGATCTGGGTTCGAGGGACGGACTCTGACCTCCTGAGAAGACATCTACATGGCATCAGTAATGGAGGAAGGACCTAAAGAGGGCTAGGGAGGCATGCCCAACGCCAGGCCCAGCTCTCCGCTGCTCCCCTCCCTAAAAGCCAGAATCCTAAATTCCCACTTAGGGGATTTAAAGATATCTTAAAGGAAGCTCAAATTGCTGCTCAGACCCTCACAGCTCCAGGGGATCTCCTCTCTCCCAGGGAATCATAAAAGGAGAGATTCTTGTTCTTCCAAATACTCGATGCCTTAGACCACAAAGAGGTCTTACCTTCTGGCCATTAGGAGATCATTGACCACCATCTCTGCTATGGAACCACCTTCCTCAAAATGCTAGAAGGGGGGCTGGCATGGTGGCGCAGTGGATAAGTGTGCATGTCCGCTTTGGCGGCCCAGGTTTCCCTGGTTTGGATCCTGGGTGCGGACACGGCACCACTTGACAAGCCATGCTGTGGTAGGTGCCCCACATATAAAGTAGGGGAAGATGGGCACAGATGTTAGCTCAGGGCCAGTCTTCCTCAGCAAAAAGAGGAGGATTGGCAGCAGATGTCAGCTCAGGGCTAATCTTCCTCAAAAAAAAAAAATTTTTTTTTTTTAAATTTAAAAATATGCTAGAAGGTGGAGTGAGCAGATCATGGGCCAAGGGGATCTGGCATTAGAAAGGATTTCTAATTCCAGTTCTACAGCTTTCCCATTAGCCTTGTCATTTGCATCAAATATGCATGTCAGGCTAAATCTACAGGATGAAGGGAGTTGAAACACTGGGACCTAAAAGCCCTTTTCCAAATCTGTGGATACAAGAGCACACTTGAAAAGCCACTACCAGGCAAGGTGGATGATCAGCCAAGAACCCGGGGTGGGCACCTCCTGCCATGGGGACCACATGCCTGCCCCTTCACCCCTAGCTCTCTCCTTCCCTGGCCCTACTTTTGGTCTCCAAAGGAAGATCAGTTGAGTGTGATCCAAGTTATCCAGATAATTAAGCACGAGTTGTGTTTTTAAAAGCGCCACTCCTTCGGCCTCCAAAGATGAAATCTTTAAATCCTTCCCTAGCTCCTCCTATTCTCCACTCGCCTCCCCAACATACACTCCCAAATCCTAGTTACAAAAAATCCTAAATGTAGGGGGGCAAACTTTCCTGATCTACTATTTTCCCCCACCTGCAACCCCTCCCCCCCCAATTTTTTTCTCTCTCCTGAGCCTCTGCTCATCGCTTCTTAAAAAAAAAAAAAAACGAAGAAGAAGGAATTTTCAATAGTCCCACTTGTCAAGCGAAGACCATCTTTTAACCTTCAACAGCAGCGAAAGCCGTGTGAACTCTCGGTGAACCAAGATTGAAGTCATAAATCACGCGTACAAAGGCGGCTGCGGAGGCTGGCGCGGGCTGCTGCACCTTTAACGCTTTCTGCGGCTGACAGGCGGCGGCCCAGCTAAAGTTCACAGCGCCCGGGGAGGGCCCGCCCCCCCCCCCCCCCCCCCCCCCCCCCCCCCCCCCCCCCCCCCCCCCCCCCCCCCCCCCCCCCCCCCCCCCCCCCCCCCCCCCCCCCCCCCCCCCCCCCCCCCC